AACCCTTGTCTTTTTCCGCCTGTTGTAATTTTTGATTTCTGAGTTTTCGTTTTTCGCAATCACTCTTCCAGTGTCCAGTTTCTTTACAGTAATTGCAAATCGAGGAATTAGTTTGTTGTAACTTTTCTTGCGAATTTAAATTGGCTGGGGCGCTTGTTTTTACTTGATTTTGGGCGGCCCAAAGTGGCTGATGGATGAAGCGGGGATTAGTGTTATTGTTAGCTGCCGCGCGAGGCTCCGCCCACGGCTGCTGTTTGGGCTGCTGCCGTTGCTGTTGCGTAGTTGGTCGAGTTTGATTTTGATTCTGCGGTATCCGATACCAACAGTCTTTAGCTGTGTGTTTTGGTCTATTGCAAATTTGGCAGATGCTACTATCTTCAGCTTTCATTAATCGAACTGGCTCTATTTTAGGTTGGGTTAGCGCTTTTACTGTTTCGGTTATTTCCTCAGGTTCCTGTACGTTGAATTCTCGTTCAATTTCTATTGCTTTCGTAGTAGCTAATTCTAAATTTTCGGCTTCCCCCATACGTGCTTTGATGACCCAGTATAAACCGCGGATGAAGAATTTTACTTTGTCTTTTTCAAGTTGGTTTTTAAATCCAGCATAGTTTCGATTTTCCCTTACTGCTGCTTCAAAAAGTTCGTCAGCCACTGTTTTCACTCAATTAGAAAATGTGACTACATTCTCACCACGTTTTTGTTTTAACGTTGCTAATTCGCCTGTTAATTGATTACAAGTTTTTGCTGATCCGAACAGTAGGTCCAAAAATTTAATCATTTGTTCAACATTATCAAACGTTTTTCCTTGCACGCTTTTAAGTGCTTCACCGCTTAGTTTAATTTTAATTAACTTGGTGAGATCATTTTCATTTATTGTCGGGACTATGCTGCGTGCCTCTCGGCAACCGTCGATAAATAAGTGTAAGGGTATGTTAAATCCGTCGAACTTAGGTACGAAGTTAACAGCGTCTTTCAGGCTAAAATTTTTTATTGGCGATACTATGTTTTGTGTGGAATTCATTAGTCCCGTTCTGAAAGTTCCTGGCGTATAATACATAGTAAATGGGCTGCTTGCAAAATTAGCTTTGTTTGTAGGGGTAAAATGTCGAGTTGGAGTGGAATCAACTTTTTCCGATTTATTATGAGTCATTTCTGGTGATTTGGAAGCGGACGGTGTGTTAGTCATAAATACGTTTGTAATAGGCGCGTTGTACGTGTCTGAATTTTCAATTGCTATCTCGTAACCCGTTTGATTTTCGATGAGTTCGAGTAATGGAATTTCAGTTTTATCTAATTTTAATTTTTCAAAATTTATATCTGTAATAGCGTTAAGGAGGAATGCTGAATTTAAATTTTTACTAGTCATTTCAATGAGGATGTCAAATATTAAGTCATCTTTACATAGAAAGTCTAATGGGTTTGTATCAATGTAGTCTTGTAAATTATATTTTAATCTTTGTAACTCTTCGACTCGGGTAATTTGCTTTGTTTCGGTGGGTGGAAATCTTTGATGCAGATATGTGAGACATTCTGTAAACGTAGGTTCCCTGTTTGTTGTAAAATTCGGTTCTATTTCGCTAATTTTTTTTGTTAGTATTTTGAGTGTGATTAGTTTTCGTTCGTAAGGTGTTTCGACCATTGTAATTTTGCGATAAGATCCTAATTACCAAGGAATGAGGGGCCCCCAATTGTTATGTCTAGGCGAAATGATGTTACAGCCAGACGTAATAATATATTCAAGTAATGTCGCGTTGGTAAAGGTTGGATCTTAGTCAGGATTTAAGCAAAGGTTGGTTAAAGGGATAGCGCCTTTATTATATGTAGGGCGTTTTAAGTAGATAAAATAGTTCCTTACCTTATTAGGATTGGGTTTCAAAAGAGGTTTTTTATGGACAGTCTCAGGTGTTTGCGCTTGAGTTTAGATTTTATTGTTTAAAGATAATTATAATACTTAATAATCCCGGTTCTAAGTAGCCGGATAGTTAGACTTAAAAAACAACTTTGCGAAACTACTGAGTCGTAAATTGTGTATTGCGTACTGTATTCTATATACTGAGTAACTGCTATTGCGAACTCCAATCCAGCCTTTTATACCGTGGGCTGATGTGCCCCTTCCTGTGATTTTGCCAATTTAATATGCGGTGAGTAATATTCGCGGAAGTATTGTGGGAACGTGCTTAGACTAATCTATCTCGCTAGATAGATTTACAAATCTTCCCGGGAGGGTTGGTACAATAGAAAACTAAATTATCGATACCTGGTTTGAAATCATAACTTATAATTCGTCACGTACTTTTTCTTTCGTATCGACGTGACAATATTCTGCTGCTGTAGAAGATTTAGCTACACTACTTTGTTTCTTTACTTTCCAAAAAATCGTATTCCCATAATAACGTATAACAAAACCTGTCGTTGACTGTCTACTATTTTTGTCACCTGCCCAATCAGCATCAACATAACAATCTATAATATTATTATTATTCGATTTTCTTATAAAATTCAATTTTTTTTCTTTGGTTAAATACAAATATTTCAGTATTCTTAAAGCATATTTATAATGCGTTTTATCATAACAATTTTGAAACCTACTCAAATAATTTACACTACAGCTTATATCTGGTCGAGACATGTACTGATATACAAAAGTGCTGCAATTAAATTTCTATATTTGATTTCATTAGATGCTGATTGTGCTGGAGGTATATGTAACCTTTCCTCCATAGGTGTTGAGTACAGTTTAGTATTTTCTAAATTATAAACATTTCCTAATGAGTTTATATAATCAGTTTGATCAAGGCTCAATTTTCCTTTTTCAAGATCATATTCAACATTAATTCCTAAATACGTTTTTATTTTACCTAGATCTTTTATAGCAAATCTTTTCATTAATTTCTTTTTAATTTTATCAATGACAGTTTGATTTTTTGAACAAACTAGCAAATCATCAACAAATAATAATATATAAATTTTTTCTCCATTCTCAGTTTTATAATATAAACAATAGTCGCTTTCGCTTCTTTTGAAATTTATACTATTAATAAAATTATCAAAACATTCGTACCCAAATCTAGGACTTTCTCTTAAGCCATACAAAGCTTTTTCTAACTTTAAAACTTTATCAGAATTCTCATTAACATTTTCATAACCTTGTGGTATTTTCACATAAATTTCAGATTTAACTTTTCCATTCAAAAACGCTGTTTCAACATCCATTTGTTCAATATAAAATTCATTTTGGTTACAGTAAGCTAAAAGTAATTTCAAAGTTTGCAGTCTAGCTACTGGGGAATATATGTCCTCAATTATTTGATCTTGTTGGTATCCACGTACCACAAGTCTCGCCTTTTTTCTACCATCAGATTTATTTGTGTAAACCCATCTTAAATCTAAAATTTTCTTATCTATTGGTTTGTCAACTTTTGTCCAAGTTTTATTTTTTTCTATACTTTGAATTTCTTTTGCCATAGCATCATTCCACAAAGCAGAATCATTACAATTTACTGCGTCATTATAAGTCTTAGGTGAATCAGCACTAACAGTGTTTACATAAATAAAACTTGTCACTGTTTGACCGTACCAACTAGGTTTTCTTTTCTCTCGCGTTGACTCTCTCCTTTCAAACTTTAAGTTTACTTTTTCATTATCATTGCCACTTGAATTTGGGCTAGATTTTTTTCTTTTATTAAATTTGTTTTCTTTCTTAATTTTCTCATTATCATAAAATACTTCATCATCACTCATACTTTCATAACTCGTTTCAGATTCACTTTCACTCTCATTACCAGTATCTATTCCTATCCATTTCACATCATCTTCAACTACTTCTACGTGTCTAGCAATTATAATTCTACCATTCATTAAAACTCTATAACCTACGTTATCATATCCAACTAAAATTCCCATATCAGCTTTTCTGTCCTATTTTGAATGTCTTTTTTCTTCCGGAGTTTTTACAAAGATTTTACTACCAAAAATTCTTAAATACTTCATACTCGGTCTTTTTCCAAAAAATATCTCGTAAGGTGTCTTATTAAGAAGTGTATTCGCAATTGAACGATTTTTCAAATACGCTGCAGTTTTTACTGCTTCAGGCCAATATCTAATATTTAATTTTGCTTCCGATAATAAACATCTAGTGGTATCCATGACCGTTCTATTGTATCTCTCCGCTGTTCCATTTAGTGGATGAACATACGGTGGGCAAGGTTCAAGATATATACCTTTATCTCTGATCAAGTTAAAAACATTGTTATTTATGTATTCTTTACCATTATCGCACCTCTATTTTTTAATCTTTTTACCTGTTAAATTTTCTACTAAATTTATGTATTCAAGAAAACATTGATATACTTCAGTTTTACTTTGAATTGGAAAAATCAATGTGCATTTGCTAAAGTCGTCAATAAATGTGAGAAAATATTTTGAACCTTCGTACCCCGTATTTCTGTGTGGGCCATTTAAGTTAGTATGAACTAATTGAAGGATTTCTGTTGCTTTTGTTCTATTGTTTTCAAAACGTAAATTATGCATTTTGTTTTTGATACAAATTCCACATTTCATATATTCTTTTTCTAAGTTTTTTGGAAGTCCTTCGATTAATTCATATTTGCAAAGTTTTTCTAAATAATTAAAATTTACATGGCCAAGAATCCTATGCAATTTTTCTTTTTGACTTATTCCAGAATTATTTACGCTAATATTTCTTTTATCAACATATGACGAAATTTTATATAGACCATTATCGTTATACGCAGTACAAATTATATTATTGTTTCTATCGTAAATTTCAGATCGATTTCCTTGAGATAAGATTTTAAAATTTTTATTATTTGTAATTCTTGCTTGACTTATTAAATTTCTATCCAATTCTTTTACATAAAAAACATTTGTCATAATTATTTCTGTTCTAAAACTTTTTTGATAAAATGATGTTATAATATTTCCAACTTTTTCACACTTTATTTTTCTACCGTCTGCAATAGTTACATAAATTGATCTTTCTAATCTTTTAAAATCTGAGAAATAAGAATAATCGTTTATAATGTCGTCTGTACAACCACTATCTAAGATCCAATTAATTTGAGTACTTTGACTCTGATTTATGGAATTTACTCTACTATTAAAATTTTTAACATCAATATTTGCATGCAAATAAAACGTCTGTGGTGTATTATCGTAATACCTATCATTATAACTATAGCGTGCGTCGTGTTGACCTTCTTGTTGAAAACTTCGTTGATTGTTGAACTCTCGGTGACCTCCTCGTTGACCGTAACCTCGATTGTTGTTGTTATTGTATCCTCTGTTATTGCTGTAGCCTCTGTAGTTGCCGTAACCTCTATTGTTGTTGTTTGTATAACCTCTGTTGTTGTTGTTTTGGTAATTTTCTTCTTGATTGTAGCTGCCCCTTTGACCGCTTCCACGAGAGTTGTTGCCTCGCCAGCTGCCTCGGGTTATAGCACCTCCTCGCCAATTTGCTCGGAAATTCGGAAAAGTATTAGTTTCACAATCCTTTTTTGTATGCCCTTTTTTGTGGCAAATGAAGCATTCAATGTCCTTCTTTTCGACTTTAAATAAATTTGACTTTTTACTATTATCTTGGCTACGATAATAGTAGTACGATAATAGTACGATGGCTAGTAATTTGACGTTTTACTATTATCTTGGAATTTCATACATTTTAATTTTGTTTTTTATATAACTGCAATTTTTATCTTTATCTTGCAAAGTATCGACTAAATCTCCAATGTATGCAAGTGAATCAGGTAGAGTTTTTAATATATAATCTAATTTTTCTTGTTCTTTTATATCTGCTCCAGCACTTTTCAATTCATTAATTAATTTCTCAAATTCACTAAAAAAACTATCGGTATTTTCAAAATCTTTCAGTTTTAATTTATCCAGTCTATTTCTCAAAACTATTTGTAAAGAAGTTGATTTTTTTAAGTACATTTCATCAAACTTATTCAATATATCAATTGCTGTTTTTTCATCACATACAAATTCCAATTGTTCATTTGAAATACTAGAATATATTAAGTTCATAGCTTTACAATTAAGCTTTTCCCAATCAGTATCTTTCAATTGTTTTTCGTGTGTGACCACCTCATCACACGTTCTAAATTTCAGTAAAAGTAATAATCTTTTTTTCCAAAGGTTGTAATCTTTGCCATCAAAGATAGGAATTTTCATATCCGTATCAGAAGCCATTCTATACTCTACAACTTTCAAACACAATTTTTCACAACTTTACTCAACGTTCTCGTTCATGCACGTGTATCTATCTTTATATATCTATCTTTATATATCTATCTTTATATATCTAATAAAATATTTATTACTCCTTGTTTATATGTTATTAAGCTTCAATGCTTCAACTTTATTTTTGTTTCTAATTTTTTATTATTGTTTCAAACGACTTCATTCTTCGATAAAAGATTTATTACCTTGATATTTACAGTATACTTATCAATATCCGCGGTGTTTCATTACATTGAGTACTATATTATTTTGTTTCTCCTCATTTAGTCGTATAGCATCAAATTTCCATGTGTTCCTGCCAAGCACCGCATGACGGCAAAATTTAAAATCGTATCCACTTGCATCTTCTTGATCATTCAATAATTTTTTTTTACTTTCGCATTTTATACACTTATTTTTCAACTTTAAAAACAAATTTCAGACAACATTCATTCATTCCTATCTTCTTCATTCACTTTGTCAACCATACACTGAATCAACCTCACTTTTAATCGATCACACTATTAACCAACCAGGTTCTGCTACCATGTTAAAAATGACTGAGATAAAAACGATTGAGTTTGTTTTAAATAAAATATAATATCATGCAAATATATACAAAGTGGGTCTCATAGTTAGAGATACGGTCTGCCTTAAGCAACCGCTCTCTTTCGACTGTACTCATAGTTATGTACAGATACATCTCGCCGCGTACTTATGCGCTTTTGCGCATGCGCTACTACATACATCTTTTACTCTTGAAATATTAATTCATATATTTTAACAATTTATCCCTTCAAAATAAACTTTGATTGCGTCAATAACTTCTTTACATCTTGATAAATAGACGAGTAACGAAAACTATTCATCATTTCAAGTAAAATATTTTAGCAATTCACGAAATAATCATTATCATTTCTATAATTACTAATATCAAAATCCCTTATTATTGTATGAATAGTACTGTCATATTTTTCTTTTACTATTTCCTGACAACTTACTCTCTCTCTCCCAATTCAGCTTCTTGCTTTCTCTTTCTCCTTTTTGCTTCGTCGCTCTTACTAATTATTTTTGTTAACATTTATCCGTTATTCTAATAAATAACACGTTTGTTTTTTCAACGCGCGTCCGCTTTATTCCGTCCTTCCGTCTATCTCCTCGACCTTTTAATCTCGCGTTTAGACGTGCGAGTCTTACATCGGGACCTGGCATTGGAGCCACGATGCCCCGACAACACCTGACGAACCGAGCTGTTCCTGCTTAACCGAGCCCGAATTCTTTACTTGTATTATCCGCTGTAACGAGTGCGACTGGCCCTCGTTGTGTCTCTCTCTCCCTCTTATAATTATATTATGTATATAGTTTATGTATATGTTTCACTTTGTAAATACGTCTGCTGCCACTAGCGTAGCCGACTATAGCGGGGGAGAAGAGGCAGCCGATCACGGTAAGTCGCATGAGAGAGAGCAAGAGAGAGAGAAGAATACGCGACGGACGGGCCGCTACTCGCGAAGGGCCGCGCACCGCCGGCTTTCCGCGGCTCGCATAGGCATCACCGCGGAGAGAGGGCAGATTAGGTTTGACCACGCTGAGCGACACACGTGGAGACAGGGGCTGCTAGAGTTTTTCGCTCGTTACTGCTTTGTATTGCTGCTACCTCGGGTTCCGCCTTCAGCGAGAAGACGCAGTTACCGCTGTCGAGAGTGTTTCCGTATTGCGCAGGGAGAAGCGAGTGCGACAGAGACTTTGCCGACGTGTGGTGCGTTTGTGTTCCGCGAACGGATTGCGCCGAGTGCCTTTTGTGAGGTTGCCGCCGGCATCGTTGTCACCGACGAGCTCGTCCGCTGCGACACACGCCGTTTTCGTAGCTGTGACGAGAGCAGGCCATGTGCCGGTCTCTCGTCTGCGTTCTCCCTCCTCCACTCGGCAAGGCGTGTTGGCCAACGTTAGGCGCATTAAAGTATGCGCCTAACACTTGGTCTTTTTGTTTCAGCGCCAAGGACGGGCCAGCGCAGTTGAGCGCAAGAAAAAGTTGAGGAACGCGGAGAGAGAGTGAGAAAAAGAGAAAGAGAGAGTATTAGGCCCATGCAGGGATTGGCAGGCGCGCAACGCGTGACCGATAAGCGGCACGTCGCGTTCCGTCTAACTAATAGGTCAAGGTAGGGAGAGGAGCGAGCGCCGCTGAGCGGCTGCAAGACGAGCGCAAGAATTAGTGCGTGAGGGAGTCGAAGCCCAGTCCTACTAGAGTGCAGTAGTCCAAGCCCAGTCCGGCTAGGAGGTAGAGAGTGCAGTTTGGGATAGCCGGAAGGAAGGTCAACCCTACCGGCAACAGCTTTGTCTGCAACCGCAGCTAGCCCACCCCTGCAAGGAGAGTCAACGTTGCCTGTGGATACCTGGTCGGCGACAGCAGCCAGCAGCTAGCAACGATCTGACCAGCGACGACGACCGGTACTTCCTGCGGCAGCACATCGCCCGCGATCCACGACGTTACTAGGAGTGGTGAACAAAGGTCAAGCCTTCTTTTCTTCTTTCTCTCTACACTCTCTCTCTCTCTGATGATGCGACGGCCGGTTCGCGTTGAATAGGTTAGCCAGGCATCCACGTGCCGGCTATCTAAAGGTCCGCGTTTAAGTTTAATTTGTAGTAGTGTAAGTTGCGATCGGCGAATTGTCCAGGCGCCCACGTGCCGGGCAGTTCATCCGGTATAGGTTCGCGTAATTTAAGTAAGTTTGTAATAGGTTAAGTGCGCGATTGGATATTAAGACGAGATGCGAAGTATTCATTTGTGAATACTATAAGTAGTTTATTATTCTATTATGTAGTTGGTTAGTTAGTAATTAGACTATGTTATGCGCGCGTATGTTTAGTTTGAACAATGATTAATAATAATAGGTTGTAAGTGAGATTTGATTCCTGTCTTTCTATAATTCATTTATCAACCTCTCCTCGTTCTTCTCCCTCAATTGCCTTGAGCGAAAGTGCCTCACTTACCCCGCAAAGAATTGGTAACAAAGGATAGAGTTTTGTTACATAGCGAAGCCGGGAGACCACGCCGTCCTTGTAAGTACCTGCGACTTCTCTTTCTCTCTCTCTACTTTAGGTTGCTGCTCTCTCTCTCTCTCTCTCTCTCCCCCTACGCTACAACGCTATCACCTGCGTCACTCGTACCGCTTATTGTAATCACACTTTTGCTGCTATTATATTTTATGCCTGCTAGATAGTCGCTACCATTCATTTCGAACCTTGTCCTTTACCGCTTTCCTTGTCGCTCGTTGCGACTGCGCACCACGTTTTCGCGATTTTCAGCACAAGCAGACCGCACGACGCTCTCCGCGGGCCTGGAAGCTGGACAGCTTCCACGACGGCATAGCTGTGCTGCCCGGACGTCGCTTCGTAACCCGTTAATCTGCAATTTCTCCCTCACCTTTTCTAGCAACGTCGGCTGCTACGCTCATCGTATGCGCAGCCCCGTTACAGAAATTTGGCGCCCAACGCGTTCTAGAGGACAAAGCTTGTGCTAAATACGACAGAATAATTTAACCAATAGTAAATTTCAATTTCTGTTCAATATATATGGTACTTGTGAAAAATAAAAGCGAGAAAGTAAATGACCAAGCGAACTTCAAAATTTAGTCGGTCGCATAGGCGAAGGACAACGTCAATAACAACAAAGTTTCAAGTTACAGCCAGAATATAAACAGCACACCAAACAAAGCATATAGCTGATTTGAAAACACAGCATACGGACTTGGTATAGTTAACGAAATCTATGAGCATATAAAATATTACTTGCGACTTTGAACGAATAAATAACAATCGTGCGAGCGGAAAATTTTCAAAATTTGTAAACAAGCAAGCGTTCTCGAATTTTCGTCAACCGAAACAGAATATTGCGATCGAATAAACTCGCGCATTACCTTGATTCATTTTGTCAAGTAAATTCGATTTGATTTTTTTTTTATATACACATCTACAAATCAACAAATTAACCAAATTTAATTACATCAATTGTTTTTTTTACTTTTATCGATATTTTCCTTTTTTTTTACTTTGATTTCTTTTCTTCTCTTTCTCGTAAATACCATTGACGACAATAACAATGACAATGTCACAGACCCCGAGAAACATTAACGAACTCTCGATTTTCAAGGAAAACGTAGATAAAAGAGTGGCAGATTGGATAAAGGATTTGCCCAGCGACGAGCTCGACGACGTCATGACACGCTTAGAGTTAATTACGGACGGGTCAATGTATGAAAGAGCGAACCAACTGTACAAGCGCTTAAGCGGCGATTACACGGCAGCGGAGAGTATTTTAACGAACGATCTAGACGAAGAGCGAACGAAATCACGACGCGACCAGCTATGTATTACACTCCTGCTATCGAATACATTACCGGCAGATCTGCGCGACGACATCCTCACAACACTGGACGCGCAATCCACCTTAGAAGACGAAAGCATGATAATGAGTGATAAAGCGTCATTTTCCACAAGCTCTCGCGACCACGCGCAAACGACGCCGCATCAACAACGTCGATTCTTAAACACGTGTGCACAATTGGAAACGCTTGACCCACGAAGCTTAGCCGAGTCCATCCCATTTGCTACATCACAAAGCAATGTGATACTAATGAATCAACCGGTACCCACGACGCTCTCCGCATCAGCGAACGCACTCTTCGCAAGCACACAAAGCACCTCGCAACCGAACATTCTAACGAACACAAATACTTCGTCACAACCAACAGGTGCAATCCCGCGGCCGAAACCATCAGTCAGAGAAGCTGCAGACAAACTTATCCGCTGCGTTCTTCCAGACGGTATTGTACAATACATGCCAGTAGCATCAGCAGTCGAACTCAGAAGAGCAGTGCTTTCTGAGAAGAACCTAATGCAGGAAAACGCAGAAGTTAAAGAAGTGCTAGCCGCTATTTCGCGAGAAAACGTGAACCTCAATCGCGTCATGG